AAAAAAAGCTGCTTCTTTCTTAGCCTTTGTGTACTATATAAATAGACAAGATAAACTTTGGAAATCTTGGGTGCTGAGTTGATCTCCTTTCATCATTTGTTTTTGAAACCAAATTGACGCTATGCCTGATCACCCCAAGGCAGCAGGATGTCTTCAGTTACCCATAGCAACTTTCTGATGGTATAGTCTTATCTGTGATAGATAAGTCTATTGAAAATTTCTGGTGTAGGAGTTCAGATAATGCCCTGTCTACTGCAAATTTATATTGACAGCAGGAGAGCTTTCAGCTTGAGTTTGAAAACTAGTTCCTTTCAGGCACACAAATCAGGATGTCACATTGAATTTATTTGGCAAATGAAATGCAGGATCCTTTGCTATGTCTCTTCTTGACTGAAGAAGCTTCACCACTTTCTTTCATAGTTCAAGAAGTCAATAGGGTGGAGTGTGTGTGCATGGGTGTGAATGTGTGTTTGACAAGATTCTAAGAGAAACTAAGGCACATGACTGTTGCTGCTATTAAACTCCTTCTCCTCCTCCCCCCCCCATTTGTGGGCTTCCAGATGCTACTTAATTTCAACTATCATTTTTTCATTTATTTTTACTTATTTATTACATTTATATGTTCTTGTATGCATTTCATTGGATGAAGGAAGTGGCATGTGGTAGTGGTGATATTTTAGGATGAAGGATAGTGTTTCAGACTAAACATAATATCTTTAATATATTTTTAGGTTCTTGGATTGAGAATATACTTTATGGCTCTTTGCTCCATTTTTGTCCATTCCTTGCTCATGCCACATTTTGATATTTCAGTTAAGATTGATTAAACACTTTTCATCTGCATGAAGAAGTTGGCTTAATTTATATTTATAAACTAAAATGTGCAATCAGGATCATATCCTGGTTCCTAAGCAAGTAAAAGACAACAATTTCCCAGTTGCTTTAATGATACATTTTGATTATATTAGTCCTGGAAAATTGCATTATAGTCATGTGCTAAGATCATGAATAATATCCAGATCTTGGTAAGATCATGAATAATGTTCAGCTCTTATGTCTGAAAAGGGCCAATGTTTCATGCTTGATCAACCAATTAAAAATCTGCAAAATCTTTAGACATATGTCTGGAAGGAAATTTACTTTTATTTATATGTTGAATATGATAGTTATATGGTTCTGTTATGATTTTCAAATTCAACAGAGACACTAAAAGCTAGTGGTAAATGGACTTCTGGTTTTGCGTTGCGGTGAGACGGATGCAGGAAGGCAGGGCTCCGCCTTCTGTGCCCGATTTCACCCTGTTGAGGGCCCTGAAAGGACCCAAAATCGTTCCGAAGAGGTGATGAAGAAGGAGGGGTGCCTCGTTGATCATGGAGAGATGGTGGTCTTTCCGTTTGATCTGAGGAAACCCCGCCAAACTGTCAGGGGAAAGACTGGCTACATTCCTGTGGCCAGCCATTAGCTGCTGACAACTGAAGAAGAAAAGCATTAATTAGCATTGTAAACAGCATGTTTGGAACTGGGTGAGAATATTGATCCTTTCTTTACTATTTTACAACTGAATTTCTTGGGAAAGGCTCCCAAGAAGGTAAAACTTCCGAACGTGAACGGAAACAGTGTTTTAATTTCTTTTATGGGGGACAGAAATACATAATACTGAAGTGGAAGTAACATAAAGCTACAGTTTTGATAAATTTGAGAACTGAGATAATTGTTAAGATTTTCTCTTTGAAAAAAAACATTGAGGCGAAATATAAGAAATCAATCCTTTGTCTTAAGGGTGAAAAATGGATTTTGAATGACATCTAGCAGTGGATATGAGTATAGAACTACAACTAGCTTCCTGGCTGCTTGGTGACTCCTAGCTTAATGGAGAACATTGGCATATTTATCACCCTGACTTCGTGGACTATAAACACCTACTGAGCTTGGACTTTTAATCTCAAGAACTATTGGGAAAAGAAGAAAAAATTGACTTTTGACTATGTCTGGCTGGGAGAGACTTTTGAGCTGCTTTCAAGGTGGTTGAACATTTTGAACACTTTGAACATTGTGGATTACAACCTTGCCTGACAGACAATTTTTGGACACCTGAGACAAAGGATCACTACAAAATATTGCTTTTAGGACTGGAACCTATTGGATTATAAAGGCTACACATAAAGACCAGAAAACTTTGTTCTACTCTTATTAAGATTGCTGATACTAGAGGATCTCCAGGAATGATGCCTCAAGAAAAAATAAACACCTTTCAGAAGGAAATATACTCTATGCTACAACTAATTCACCAAACAATTGTCGCACACAAAGAGGACACAAAAAGAAACGATAATGAGACTAAAAATAATTTAGATAATGTAAATGAGCAAATCTCCAAATTAAATCTACAACTAGAAAATTCCCAGACAACGACTACAAAGTATGAACAAATAAACCAGAAGTCAAAAGATGAAGCAGAGGAAATGGACCTAGAAACGGAAGAGATAAAAGGAGGGAAATATAAACTACCACATACATATAAAATACTGCAAGACTTAGCCATAACATGAAAATAGAAATGATGCTTTACCCTTAGGTCTGCAAAATATACCTGATGATAAGGAAGAAGATTTTTTAAAAAATGGAATATAGAGCTGTTAGGGGAAATGTCACAACTTGGGAGACAAAAAATGAAAAGAGAAATTGAGGGAGAAGGTAAGTGGAAGTTGCTTAAGGAATATAAATGGGCGGGATGCTCCCCCCAAAAATACCCTACCTAAATTGTCTTCCTCATGCCAAGCAACTTTTACAAAAATAGAAAGAAAATTCCTGGGCGATTTAATTGTCCTGGTTTGGAAAGCTACTTGGCAAAGAAAGAAAGAGAGAGTTAGATTTAAAAAACATAAGATTTGACCTATTAGAGGGGGCATTATATGTTTAAATATTTGTTTGAATGTGATTAAAAGAATGGATGACCCTTAGATATAATTAGACTTTTATAATGAAATATATGATTTAGAATTAAAATAGCATTCTTTTTTCTTTTTTTTTGATATGGAAAATATGAAAATAAGAGAATGGCTGGTATGAATAAAACTTTTAGCTATATAAATGTAATTAATATTGAGAAAATCATAACTGATATTTCAAATATTGATGGGAAATCAAACCTTAACAAGAGCATGAAAAACAGGATATTGATTTATGAATTGATATTATTATTTGTATAATATTAGTAAAATATGATGAGGATGTTTATATCTAACTTTGTATACATCAATAGTAGCAAGAATTGTAACTGTGTAATGAGGGGGAAATGGAAAAAATATGGGGAAGAAAGGAGGATCAGGGGTTAAATACTGGATTGTGCAGTGCTGAACAGATGTATATTGAAGAAGTTAATGTTAAATATGTAAACCCAGACAACACATTGTTTACCAAGCACTAAAGATTGTAACTTTTAAAAATCAATAAAACATTTTTAAAAAAGCTAGTGGTAAATGAAACTATAATATGGATGGGGACAGGAAAAGAGGCTTTTGTTCCCCATTTTTTTTTCACTTTGGTGCATATCTGACAAGCTTAGGGCTTCTGATTGAATAACTGAATCGATTTCATCATGATCTTGGACTTGAGATATGCCAGAAAGGATAGTCAGGGATAAGGAATGAGCAGGGGAATTCACCTGAGATAACTGCAGCTACTCCCAAGTAGTGTCACTGTGAAAAATAACTGTGTTATCCCTTCTGCGCTATTGGTTGCCTTTGTTCAGATGGAAACAGCTATAAGTAATCCTTGACTTAAAACTACAATTGAGACCAGAACTTCTGTCACTAAGTGATGTGGCCATTAAGTGAGTCACACCCAATGAACTTTTTTGCGGTGGTTGTTGACTGTGTCAGAAGCCCTCTGGGAAGGTTGTAAATGGCAATCACGTGAGCCCCCAGAATGTTACAACTATCATAAATGCATACCAGTTGCCAAGTGCCTGATTTTTGATCACATGACCCCCCCCAAGGGACACTGCAATGATTGCAAACTTAAGTGAACTTAAAAATTCACTTTTCAGTGCCATCATAATTTTGAACGATTAAGTCATACGTTGAGGAGTACCTGTACTCCACAGCATGTTGCAGATAGACTTATACTCACAGTCTGAAATGTGTCAGTGATTTGACCACTGTTTTTCTTCCCCTATTTCCTGCCCCTTTCTTCTCTTCCCTTCCAGAGCATATTCGTTTCATGTTACTGCAGATGGCCAAATGCAGCCAGTTCCTTTCCCTCCAGATGCTCTCATTGGACCAGGAATACCTCGCCACGCTCGCCAGATCAATACTTTGAACCATGGGGAAGTGGTGTGTGCTGTTACCATAAGCAATCCAACAAGACATGTGTATACTGGTGGAAAAGGGTGTGTCAAAGTCTGGGATATCAGCCAACCTGGCAATAAGAGTCCTGTTTCTCAACTGGACTGTCTGGTAAGAAATTCCGAATAAGATGGTTTCATTGAAGTCCAGTACTAAAATCTCAGCTCAGATGAATTTAGTTTAGTCTTTATTTCTGGATCTTTCACTCCTCTATATATATATAAAAAAAAGTAAATGAAAAACTCAGTAACAAATGAACACAATTTAAGAGCAAGAAGCATCTAATCCAGGGGTCTTCAAACTTGGCTCTTTTATGACTTGTGGACTTCACGTCCCAGAATGAAGTTGAAGTCCACAAGTCATAAAAGGGCCAAGTTTGAAGACCCCTGATCTAGTCAGAAGAAAAGATTCTGCCGATTTTATTGCGCAATAAATGAGATGCATCAGGCAAGTTTCTTAAGAGTACTGAATTTCAGAAGCAGTTAAAAAAATGTTGATCTGCATCAATGGACAAAAGAAAGAGCTGCCTTTTTACTCTCATTCCTTACAAACAATTCTGTTCCTATCTCTTGTGTTTTGCAAAACCTGTCAGGCATTTCTAAAGCCTTCCGTTTTCCTCTGAAGTAAAGGAGCAAAAGTATATTTACTAAACATAAAAGTATTACAATAGGCAATGTGGGCTTTAAATTTAGTTCTGTGAATAAATCTAAAGATTGTACTTTAGATATTTTTTAAAAATCGTGTTTAACAGTAATTAGCTTGAATTGTCATTTTTTTTAGTTTACTCCATATTGAGACATCTGTTTCCAATACCTAATTTGTTATATGTAAATGAGAAAAAATTGAAAAAGGGGGAAAACAAATCCAAGTTTTTATTCTTGTTAGGAATGGTTTATTTTCAATCTAATTATTTGAACTTAATTTTTTGCTAAAACATATGGTTGTTTAAACACTTTATCAACTTTCATAATGAATTAGATGTATTGCAGCAAATAGTTATTTGGAAGAAGCCTTATAGAGAGTCCTTATGACAGTAATCATGGTCATAAGTCATAACAGTTATAAATCGGGTCACCTACCCATCAATGGTTTGCTATAGGCCGATTTTGCCAAAAACCAGAAGTAAAACCCAATTTTTAGGTAAACTGTTGTAAAACTTATTCATATAATTATGCAAATGGCCGTAAATGGTTGCTATGCACCTGATCGTTGGGGGGCGGGGGGGAGGGTGGACATTGGAAATTTGGGACCAGGTCATAACTACATCCATGGAGATCTGTCGTAACTTTGAATGGTTGCTAAGTGATCAGTCATTAGCCGAGGACTGCATGTATGACATGCTATTTTTTTTTCAAATTAAACAGTCTTTAGAATTGTGCAGTAGAGACATAACTAGGTACTGTTTAAAAGTATGAGAGCCTTATAAAAATAATAATTTTGATGAAATGTAGTTAGAAGCAAGTTATAAATAACTTGTCCCACTCTATCTTTACTTCCACCATATTATAGGATACCAATAATGACAAAAACACTCATTTTCAGTTGTAGTGCTTCAAGTGACTTAACTTAAAATCCAGTGCATCTGCCCCAGAGAAGAACAATCTTATTGCTGCTTCTAAGAAAATGGAATTGTTTATAGCACTGTATTTCCTAGCTGCTACACAAGTTTTGCTATTCTAATGTGTGTTTTAAAAGGGAAAATGTTGACAATTGTTTTAGTTTATGGATTGGAATCTATAATAACCCCTTTCTTTTTCCCTCTCTTTTTTATTTTTGGATTATTAAACTGTAGAAGAGAGCCCCTATAACCTCTTAACAAACACCATCTTTCTTGAAGTGGTTTTCAATAAGAAAAGTGTCATCGCCCATTAGTGCAGTATATATTTTTGAGGCCATGTGTTTTTCTCCAGAATAGAGATAACTACATTCGGTCTTGTAAGCTACTACCCGATGGATGCACCCTGATCGTTGGTGGGGAAGCCAGCACGTTATCCATTTGGGACCTGGCGGCGCCCACCCCACGTATAAAAGCAGAGTTGACATCCTCAGCTCCTGCCTGCTACGCTCTAGCAATCAGCCCCGATTCCAAGGTGTGCTTCTCCTGCTGTAGCGATGGGAACATTGCAGTATGGGACCTGCACAATCAGACCCTGGTCAGGTTAGTTGCGGTACTTTTATCCATTTCAAACTACTCTGAAAGCTACTTTTATGTAGATGTGCTCCATCTTCCACTGATTTTTCAGAATGTAAAGTTTGAGTACATCAAAAGTTGAGTTTGCCTCTTTTTTCAAACCTGTCTTTTCAGGATTATGTGTGTGTTTCAGTTTCACAAGAAAATCTACAGCATCCAATTGTCTGCATGTTTTAATACGAGTGGGATAGGATACGAGTGGGAAGCTGTATTTTTGTTGATAATGTCTTCTGAAATCTCAAAAGCCAATGAGATGATTGCAAATTTTTTTTTTACCAACAATCAGGAACGTGGTTGATATTTTCTAATGCTATCAAAATAATTATAAGCAGTATGAAAATGGAGTTGTATGATTGACACGATTTTGTTTGAAACTGACACATCTGATTGTTGTAACTTCAAATTGTACTGTAAAGCCAGAAGTACAATGTCCTACTCCTTCCTCTTGTTTTTTTTTTCAAAAACAAAAAAATAATAGTTGGAACCTTTGAGAAGGTAAATCATTAGCTACTTGTATATAGTTTATTTACAGCCTTAGTTATCTTACACAGAATGGAAACAATTCTCAATTTCTGCACTTGCTTTGAGCAAAGATTAATTTTTTGGTGATTGTTCTACTTGTCTGACCAAGGCAGGGAGTGGGTTTTATTTTAGAGAATGTTTATTTGTCACCATTTGTAAATAAGTGACATTCCTGTCTTAAAAAAAGAAAGCAGGCTGTTAGCCATCTTGTTCTCCAGAAGCACCGCAGGTGTGATCTGCAAACACCTGAAAATGCTGAGTGCTGAGAATATTAATAGCTTATTTTCAGCTTACCTAGTTATCTTCGATTGCGCAAGGCATACCTTGTATCAAGGAAAAGTACAGGTAGTCCTTGACTTACGACCCTTCGTTTAACAACAGTTCAAAGTTATGATGGCCTCAAGAAAAAGTACAATAGTCACACCAACATGATCACAATTAGGGCTCTTGGCAACTAGCCCACATTTGCAACATTTGTGGTCATGTGATCATGATTCGTGGTCTTCACATCTGGCTTCTGACAAGCAAAGTCAGTTGGGGAAGCCGGTTTTGCTTAATGACCGTATCATTTACTGTTGTGATTTCCTTAACTGTCACGCTAAAAATGCCCATAAAATTGGGCCTGGACTCGCTTAACAACTGAATCCCTTAGCGACCAAAATTCTAGTCCCCATTGTGGTTGTAAGTCAAGGAGTACCTGTATAAAATACAACAAAAATCTATTGGTATGTAAGTACAAATAATCACTGACTGAAGGATTTCCCATTCAATTAGCCTCCACCAGGGATAGCTGATAACATTAAGAGTGAAATGATGGCAAACCTGTTACATAATTAACTTCTTTTATAATGTGCCTGATCAAGAGTGGATCCTCTGTTGACATTCTTCATCCATTTTTCCATCATACTTTAATAGCTTTTCATTCTCTAGTGGGCTCTTTTAATTTGAGTTTCTACTCCACCTGACCTCTTAATTCCTCAATCATCGTTCTTAATTCAGATACGTGTGGGCTTTCTGCTTATTTTGAACTACTACTCTACTGATGCTGGCTTCAGGCCATTCCGTAGCTTTGTTTGTTGACACAGGCTATTCCTGATGACATATTCTTAAGAACAATACGTAACCCATTTGATTGATTCATCTATATTTTTATATTAGTGTCAACAAAAATTGAAACTAAATTGAAACCACAAGAGCGTGGGTCTCTTAGTGTCAGCTGTCAACTCTTTATCACATCTTCTACCTCTTTTACCAACCTCTGCCAGAAAGAGGGGGGAGGGTCTATTTTTTCCTGATTGGGTCTCCTTTTTCTCTTTAGTGGCTGCTGAAATAATAATGGCAACTGCTATATTTTCCATTTGTAACGTTAGTGACTGAGGCCATCAAAAAAATTGGTAGCCTGAATTATCCCTAATTTCCTCACCCACTATCTGGGGATGACAGCTCTCCAAATCTTATGCCCAAGTCTCATGCTTCAATTTTGTGACCATGTGTCTCCAATAACATATCCACCATTCATCACCTTTTGGCCTGATCTTCTGTCAACAACATCTCATAACATTTAACACTACTCATTCTCTCATATGCTTTTCTCCCGACCCACCCACCCACCCCATTCCTACAAATCCTCCTTGAAAATTAGGCTGGATGCGTAATTCAACCCTAACCCGATTGCTAGCTAAAACAGTTTCTATCCAAGGTGATTAAAAACTATAACAAAACTTTATTTTACCTACACTGTATTCTGGCACCACTCTCATTGTTTGGCCTGCCCTATTTAATGAAGTTTATTGAAAATTTAAAATTATACCTTTAGACCAGACATGTCAAACTCGTGATGTCACACAACATATTGCGACTTTTTCCCCATTGCTGGCAATGGGGTGAGCGCGGTTTCAGCGTGACGCATCCGGCCTATGGGCCGGCAGTTTGACGTGCCTGCTTTAGACTGTCAGAACTCTCTTTCTGTTGCCTTAGTGTGAAATCAGAACCTTTTTGTCATGATGCTTTGAATGCTAGTTGGATAGTATCTAATCTTGGTGGTCTAGGAGCTTTAGTCTCCTGGCATTAACTACTGTGTATTGTAGTAGGTCAATCTCCACTCTTCAGTTTATTATATTAAATTTAAGACTATCCTCAAATAATTGGCAACTTAAGGGTAAATGAATGGAACAGCTCTTAAACCATTCACTTAGCGAAAGGATAAATAAAAATAAAAATTAGCTCATATAATTTCCTGCTTTTCTTAGCACCTTTGTTGGTTTCTAGTCAGGGGTTTCTCCCTGTTCCCTCTTCTAGGTTATGCGGCTTCTTTTTGCAGACAACATCTAATATTTCCAAGCTTGCAAGGCCGGGTGTGTAATTAGCATAATGCTCACATAAGTAATTTCCTTTCAAGCTTTCAAGATTAAAGAAAGAATGTTTTGGTACACCTTGGTTGGAATGCTTTGGCAAGGTAGCAACTTTTAACAGTTCAAAATAGTTTTGTAATATGAGTGTTTGGTGGACCACAAAACCAACTATTCATATATCACAAAAAAACTGGCAATGATGCACAATAAATCTCAGCAAGCACAGCTGACATTTGCACCTGCCTTCATAATGAGAGGCTATTTAAAGCATCGGCATTTGGCCACTTAAGCATCTCTGGACACTTACAGACCGAATGAGTCATCTTAATTACAAGCAGGACTGTGAACCCTACAGTGATGGGCCAAAAATCAAATTAATTTAAGTTCTGCAGCTTGTGATTTTTTTAATAAAGAAAATGGACAGCTCTGTATTTAATTTATACTTTTTTTCTGCCTATAAAGTAGAAGAACAAAAAGTAAAGATATTGAAAACTCAGTCCCTAACTTCAATTTCTCTCTTTTTCTCTTTCTCTCCCAGCCCCGCCCCTGCCTTTGGTTCCTAGATGATACCCATATTCATAAAGTTATTTGATAGTATTGATGCTATCAGCCAATGCTATGCATTTCTACTTTTGCAATGCCAAATTTTCAGACACATACAGTATATGATACTTGTGTGCAGGCTAATTTATAAGCTATAGGATCAATAGTTGTCTTTGGAAGTCCAATACATTTAGTTGTTTGACTTGCCTAAGCTCTATTGAAATCAGGTTAACATGAAATAGTGTCCAGTTACCAACTTTGAATATAATTTACATGGCACTGTGATTTATACAGGAAAAGTTTGTCCAGTATTTCAAGCGGAAATTATTATTTGTATCTCCCTTTATCTTCTGTATCTCTTTTTCCCTTCATCTGTAATTACAAATGGATTTGGGCTTTACTTATGCAAGTGCTAATTACACAGTAGATCAGATCCTTTGAAAATGGAGTCTGGTACTGAAAAATAAGATGTGTATATTGGAAAAAAGACAAAACAGCAATAAGACATTTTTCAAATTCTATCATGGCTTTCCTTTTTGAATAATTGTTACTTTCCTTCCATAGCCTTGGAACATTTTCATTACGTTAGAAAAACAATCTGATTTAGCATTGACATCCGTAACTTGATTGTTTTATTTTTAAAATGCAACTAAGAACAATATCTGACATGGCCTCAAGGGTTGGCTTTAATGTTTCCCCTGCTTGGAATGCCAATTTTTTAGTATATTTTTAACCATGCTCTTAATAAAATGACACAGGTGCTCTCACATTGTGTGTAGGATGAGGGAAGCCAACACTTATACAATAGTAGCACAAAACATATGAAGCTTTTTCATGTTGGTGTTTACTACAAATAGTTGTTAATTATATGACTAAGCCAATTGAGTGAATTGGGTACAAGAGGGATGAACCTAAAAAATCACTTTGTCATGAAGTTAACTCAAAACGTGGCTCCAAAGTACAAGCAATTAATAGTTGGATATGACTCTATTTAAATGATCTATATTCTACGTGTATGAAGTTGGGGGGGGAAATACTTCTATTTTAATTTATGTGTCCAACAGAAAAATGAAGTTAAATCCCCAGAGAGAGCTTCTTGAGCAAAGGTCTCTGCTCACTGTCATATAACATATTTGAGTTGTGCTTTGGGAATAATTTGGATAATTATTTTGAAATACAAACATAGCATTGCCTTCAGCCTTTTAAAGCAACTGCATCATTTTCAGAATCATAGAGCTGCACCTTTTCCAAATTGTTTCTAAAGGGCTATTCAACCCTATTGTTGAACACCAGAGTTCTTGCCAGGTTTTCTGAACATAAATATTAGTTGAACTTGTTGTGATTCATTCAGCCTTACCTGCAGTCAGTACAAGTTGTAGAAAATGAAAGGAGTACACTGATAACCCCTTTCATTTTTAGAGAGAGAGCCTGCAGTGTTTCTCAACCTTGACAATTTTAAGGCATGTGGACTTCAACTCCCAGAATTCCACAGCCAGCATTGCTGGCTGTGGAATTCTGGGAGTTGAAGTCCACCTGACTTAAAATTGTCAAGGTTGAGAAACACTGCAAGTCTAGGGCCTATCAAGCTGATTCATAGCTTATCCCAGGATAGTAGTTTTTCTTCAGCTGCTGTTATGACATGGAACTAAAACTAATTGCTGATGGGAAAAAAGGCAAGCCCTTTAAACATTCAAGCTTAGGGTTTAACTTTAGCATATACCTGAATAATTTTTTATTACTGAGAACAGGGGTTTCACATATAAAATTTATATTAAAATTATAACTGTTTAAAATGTAAAATGTTGAATAATGATGACAGGCTTAGGTCAGAGTTTTGCAAGGCTTAGTCAGGCCGTGTTTCTGGATAGCTTCCTTCTTGTGTTTATGTAGCCAAATCTTTTAAGCATTTTAAAAAATGTCCTTGATTCGCAGCTCGACAAAGCCTATAAATAACTGGCTCTCTCTGTGAGCCAATTTGCCTTTTGTATATTGAGTTTAGCTTGGTAATCTGTTCAATTTTATTTCCAGGTGTTGCAGTAGTGAATTACAGCTTTTCAAAGAGTCTTCCACCTTTTACAGATCAATGCACACATATGTTTGGTTCTCGTTACCCAAATTTGCGGTTCATTCCATGTGCTTTGGCACCTGCAAAAAAGAAAAAAAGCTTGCATACAGGGAGCTCATTTCACAGTAGGGAAGGGTGCAAGTTTGCTGCTTCATGCACATTAGCTAATGCAGAGAAGATGATACTCAGGCAGAATCCAAAACTAACAACACAACAGTGTTTACCTTGAGTTCTGGCAGGAAATCATTATTCAATCTGGTTTGTTTTATCAGGCAATTCCAAGGCCACACAGATGGAGCCAGCTGTATTGACATTTCTAATGATGGTACCAAGCTCTGGACGGGAGGCCTGGACAACACTGTCAGATCCTGGGACTTGAGAGAAGGAAGGCAGCTCCAGCAGCATGACTTCACATCCCAGGTGTCTTTTATTTTCTTAAAGCATTTCTAAGACAGTGAATAATGCGCATTTCAAATCCTTCATATACTGGGTACATTTAGTAACTCTTGAGAGGAGACCAAACATTTGTCTCAGAAGTACCGCTTAACCGTGTTCACAATTTAATCTTGTTATCTATATAGGTTGTCACAGCCTCAAGCTACTATTAGGGAAGCCATTTATTAGGGGATAAAATCACTTCTAACAAGGATGTATTTAGGAATTTATACCACCTGTCTGTAACAATTACTTTGAATAAAAAAATGAGTATTTCCTATAGAATCCTTAAAACTGTGAGTGCCTATACAAATCTTATTTGGCATTTTCACTTAGGCTAGAGAGATGAAAACAAAGGAGGATAAAATGCAGCAATGTCTTCATAGGTAACAAGTCTGTTTAGCCCTAGTCCACATATTCTGGAATTAATATATACATATTATAAATGTATATTGGCCCTGATTTCCAGCTCTAAATCATCATCCTATGTTTCAGAATATATGCAAAACAGTTTCTATTTCTCTCTCCCATCTCTCTCCCATCTCTCTCTCTCTCTCTCCCATATCTCTCTCTCTCTCTCTCCCATCTCTCTCTCTCTCTCTCTCTCTCTCTCTCTCTCTCTCCTTTTTGCTGGGATTGTAAATAGCTCTCTCTTTTTATTTTAAAGATATTTTCCCTTGGCTATTGTCCCACTGGTGAATGGCTGGCTGTGGGAATGGAAAGCAGCAATGTGGAAGTACTGCATGTAAATAAGCCAGACAAATACCAGCTTCATCTGCATGAAAGCTGTGTGCTATCACTCAAGTTTGCATACTGTGGTAAGTTAGAGGAATGATGTCTAACAGCCATCAACATTTGTGTAAATTAGCCTCAGCTGCCCTTAGAAGAAGGCAAGGCACTTGAATATTTCCATTCCACTTTGCTTTTAAGAAGGAGAAAATAAATGTAGCTCTCTTCTTGGTGGTTCTTCCAGCAAGGATATGAGACGGCTTATAAAATAATAATATGGTGGATAGGGTCACCATATGGTATTCTTAACCACCTGCAGGAAGTCTACAAATTTGGAGTACTCTTTGACTTGCAATTCCTGCTGGATCAGCATGTGGAATCTTTTGCCAATTTTAGCTGGTGTGCCAGTTACAGCCTTACTTGGAATAGACGGCATGACTACAGTGGTCCATGTTCTTATAACCAGCTAAAGTGCCACAAGTACTCACCATGGAGCCACTTTTCCCCCAGTGATGCGGCTGGCCATGTGGGATGACTTCTTGTAGAGTTTGTATTTAACATTGTCCTTTTCAGACACTCCATGGGTTACTTATGCCAGCAAGCACTTGTCAAAATGAAAAATTGTATTAAGTTTTGTGGAGTGTTCTTTGACACTTTTTCATACTTTCTGTTCCCCTTGTTCTCTTCTCTCCTTTGTGATGTTTGAGTCACAGGGATGCTCATATTAAGTAAACCTGGAAACAATTCAGAAGAGAGCTTTTATGAATACAGTGTATGTCTATGTAGTATGTCTAACAGTTCTCATTAATGATCATTTTCCAGGCAAATGGTTTGTAAGTACCGGGAAAGATAATCTCCTAAATGCCTGGAGGACCCCATATGGAGCCAGTATATTCCAGGTAAGAACTATAATTTGCATATAAAATAAATTTAAAAATGGAATTCTTTGAGATGGGGTGTTAGTAGTTCCAGGACCTCTTCTGCTATGCCAGGAGGTTCAAGGAACTGAGCATGGGTTAGCCTTATTTCAACTTTAAAAAATGACATGTTACACTCACATTAGAATTTAAATCCAAAACTTGATACATTGTGCAGATAGGAGCAAGGGAAGGTGTGTGCATAGGTGTGTGTTCACAAGTAGACGCTTATACTTCTCTTTCTTCTCTCCTAGTCCAAAGAGTCATCTTCTGTGCTCAGCTGTGATATCTCCGTTGATGATAAATACATAGTTACTGGGTCTGGAGACAAAAAGGCTACTGTCTATGAAGTTATCTACTGAGAAATTGTGTTGGGAACTTAAAAGAGTTGAACTGGGCCAAAATGATTTTAAACTGTAGATGTAGAAAGACTCTACTTTTTTAAAATGATGAAACGAAGAACTTGGTTCCCACATCTTCCCCATGACTCTCCTCAACATCTAGCAAGAAGGACTTATGTAGCATAGCTTTAATGGATTTTCACAGTGGAGCCTGCTGAAGTTTATTGCAGCCTTTTGGGCCCTTCCTTTATGACATCGTAGAATCATGCTCATTGCTTGACGATGTGGGACGACGTTTCAGCACTTGCGATTCCACCTGCATCCTGTCTTGTGTAGAACAGTGGTATCTTGGATAAACTTGTTTCCTGGTTTTGCCTCTTGGGATATGGGGTTTTGTATGTTTTGTTGAAGATCAAACATTTGTACAAATTGTAAATATATTTGGTTTATTACAGTAAAGGCTTTAGTATCAATAAACAGTCTCCTTTCTTTTCCCCCCACCGATGCCCCTTAAGTAATTTAAAAGAAAAAAAACACAGTATGGTTTAAAACGTATAAGCTAGGCTAAAACTGGGAACTGTTTGCTAAGGTTTTCTATTTTGAGCACCTGTAAAGTTTATTTAGTGATGTTGCATAAGAATTCATAGTTCAAACGAAAGTAGTACAGATCTGTTCAGAAATATATGTACATATTTATAAAGTGTAGTTAGTACTCCTATTACTGATAGAAAATAGTTGTTCATCATGCTGCAGCAGAAAACGAGTACAGGGAGTTCTTAACTTATAACCAAAATTGTGCCCAAAATTTACCTTGCTAAGCAAGATAGTTGTTAAGTGATTTTTGCCCCATATTATGATCTTTCTTGCCACAAGTGAATCCCTGCAGTTGTTAAGTTGATAACATGCTTGTTAAGTGAATCTGGCTTCCCCACTGACTTTGCTTGTCAGAAAGTTGCAAAAGGTGATCAAACGACCCCAGGACACTGCAACTGTCATAAATACATGCCAGTTGCCAAGCATCTGAATTTTGATCATGTGACCCCAGGGATGCTGCAATGGTGATAAGTGGGAAAAATGTCACGTCATTGTAACTTCAAACGGTTACTAAATGAATGGCTGTAAGTTGAGGATTACCTGTAGTTGAGACTCTTCCTGCCTTTGAGCTATTTCATTCTTACACAAGGTTTGCTAGTTTGAAAGGATATAAATACAGTTAAGGTTTTAAGAAGAATTTGGCTATAATATTAACTGCAGATATACTGCGCTTCATATCTGAAGCTGAAAAGGTGAGCCAGAATGCAGAGTTATTAGGACTACCTGGGCAGCTCAGAAAATGACATAGCTCCTCTAAAGGGGTGCTAAGAGATATGGAGTATGGGTCTATTCCCAATCTGAACAATCTTTTTGAATCCAAAATGCATCTCTTCCAGAAGTTAATGTGCATTTTGTACAGCTAGTACACAAGATAAATTTGAGCATATTAGAAGAAAAAGAGAACATTTGGGTTTTTATGTTAATTTTGTTTCTTAAATATAACTGCCACAATTGTGATAAGTAACCAGCTATGATAAGTAACCAGCTTCTCTGTACTGATTTAAAAGACTGTCACCTGAAAATTAAATTTAAGAAAGACCTCAGAGCAATGTTGGCTTAACTACGGACAATGTTTTCCATTTGGGAGCAAATTTTCTTTCTTGCATCCCGTGCCTGAAAAGACATTAGTTTTTTTTTTTCCAATTTACATGCTCATTCTGCTGAATCCATTTTATAGCAGCATGAAATGATAATAGTCCTAATATATATTACTTCACATCTGGAATATAAAATATTAAGCATTCTTAATGGCCTAGATGCATTGTCTTTAAAATGAGCACAATATCTACATATCAACAGACTCATATCTGATATGCATCTATATGAAAATGGGTGACTTGAGTTTTTCATTTGATATGCCATTTTTGTTGCATGGAGTTCACACATTTCAGCCACTTTCAAATCCTGCTCTGTATCAGGCTATAAAGAGGTAAATATTCCAAGCTAGTTCTTTTTTCTCCTTCTCCCCACAATTTACTGCTCCTGAACTGATGGCCTCTATTTTTCAGTGTGTAAATAGCAGGATACTTAAAACCTTAAAAAGAGTTTATGGTTTTTATTTTTTTTAATGTTGGGAGTGTTGGTTCTTCGGATGAACAAATATGAAGATGATATCCACTGACTTAGGCAGCTTAAATCAGCATGTAACTGTTCCGCTACAGAATTTTTTTTTTTTAGTTGCAGAAATGGAGTTGCAAATTTGCTTGTTTTTGCAGTAATTTTTTCTCTAATGGACTGAGGTCCCTAAATATACTACTAAAAGGTTAGCATAATATGCAACAATGGGGCAAATGTTATAGAATACAACCCAATTTGGAGGGCAGAAGTATGGATGGAGTCACTCAGGTGGGATGGGCAGTGTAGAAATGTGATAAATATAAAAATAAGTAAACAAACTTACTGTTTACTTATTAAAAGGATATAAAATACTGCTTCCTTAATGAAAATAAGTAAATAAATAAATGGAAACAAAACAAAGGAAGGAGATGATGCCCAAATTCCCTCTGAAATTCAAGGTTCTTACCAAAGATTTGTTATGTGATCATCAAAGTGTGGGACAATAAAACTCCAATAAACAGATAGAAGGATAGATACTGATCAGAGGTCGCTGTGCAGACTAGCTTAGTGGTGCGCCCATTCATATCTTCTATCTATAGTTGTCTGGTTTTATCACAACTATTCCTGCTGCTATTGAATACCCACAAGATTTGCTTTTGTTTTTGAAATCCACGCAACCAACAGCCACTTACTAGCAGTAGAAAGGGCCCCATTGTTTCTGCCACTCCCCGTTTCTGCTATCAGAAAGTAGCAGAACATAGCAGTGGGAGACTTTATCCCATGTAAAGCATATACATAACTGCATTGATTTCAGATATCCAATATGTACTTCTGCTGATGCTAGTAGCAATGTCTTCTTCTCACTCACACTCAAACTTCTACTCAACATTCTTTAATTTGGGGAGGTAGACCGACAACTGACATTTCTGGAGCAAAGAAGGCTGATTTGAATGTTCTCCAATTTAGCTAAGTTTTATCTCTTTAACTTACACATGAACTGTCATATACTGTAATTCTCAGAAGCATTTTTGTACAATGCCACTTGACTTTCCTGAACCAGATTAGTTGACTCAAGGAGGCAAGTCTTTCTTTCTAATTTTCAGAGTAAACATCAGACTTTTCCTGTTTTTCTCTTCTATATATAGTCTTTTGTGTTGTGTTGAGATCTGCTTAAATCAGATGCTGGTCTTGTGCTATAAAGCTCTAAGTCAGGGGTGTCCAACCTTGAAAACATTTAAGACTTGTGGAGTTCAACTCCCAGAATTCCCCAGCTAGCACTTCTCTAAGTGATTTAGAATCAGATTGTGAGATTCTGTCAATCTAAATATTATTATGTGGTTTCTTGATGATAAGGTACTGGTACACAAGAACATTTAATGTAGCAATACCTAGAGTTTGGAAGAGACTTTCTGTAATTATAGCATTTAATTTGGTATTCTTTGTCCCTCTGTGGTTTGTAGTTTAAATTTATTGATTACTGATTTTTAATACAAACTTGCAGTAATAAGAGAAGAATGAAGTAGAAAGACTGATGCTCGTTAAAGTTACTAAATAAAACATTTTTTGTGATCTCTGCCACCTCTTAAAGAAACTGTATTCCATGCATTCTTTACACTTACGATCATTATGAAATATTAGAAAATACCAGTGGAAGTTCTATTCCCTGGTTTGCAGGAAGCATCACAAAGCAACAGACATGTTAATTTTTAGATAATACAGTATTGATCCAACTTCATATGAGGATTTGATAGTCATAAACCCATTGTCCTTGTTAGATGTCTGGTGTGATCATAGTTAGCTCTACTTTTTTTGTCTTGAATACATGAGGATGAAAACCAGTTCCACTATGCAATGGCTGAATTCACCGCCTGTTCATGTTTCAGGGTGCTTTAGGGGCCAGTTCACACAAGATGGATTATCTACTCACAAATCAAATCCCACGCAGGAAATTATGCAATTTAGCATATGAGAACCAGCTCAGGCACATTCATTTTGCTGTAGGTAAAGTTTATCTTGTATGAAGTAGTCCTTGTAGACCTGAAAGCTGAAGATGAGAGTTTTAGAACTGAATATAATAAGCCCTCATCTTCTTTCAATGATTGTGCTTAATGACAAGAAAAAAAAATTACCAAGCAGCATGAGAAGGTCACAGTGGGAAGTTAACCCATAACATGGAAAACTACAAAATCACTTGTTACATCCCAGGGAGTGAGCTTAATTTGTTTAAAATCAAATCCATCTGTTCATTTCACACGCTTTGTTCCACTTCCTTGCAGCAATCCACAGCGGAGTACTCTGTTACTTTAAAATTGGCTGCAATTATGATAAGCTAATAACTCTTTATTTTGTGGTTAACTGCATCAAGATATTTGGATCACTTCCAAGCTCTCAGTTCATTCTTCAGAATTATCCAAATCATCTATTGGGCCAAGTGTTCACTGAAAAACTAGATTTAAAATTAATGCCCAATTTTAATATTTATAAATTCTATATTAATGCTGTCATTCAGTTACTTGCTCCTAATTAACCAGCCATGTATTTCCTCTTAATGTGAGCATAACCTTAATGTCAGACTGGTGTTTGGAAATGTCGTTCATGTATTACTGGATAAAATTGCACATTAAGATTTTACTCATCCGGTTCAAGCACATCTCACTCTTTAAACATCACTTTCTTCTATTGTGCCCCTTCCTCCTGCAAAGTTAGTTCTTGCCAGTGTTGTGACTGTGGAAATTTATTTAGTTAAATGTATTTACTGAAAACTAAAAAAAATATTTCTCTTACCACTGCAATGCACTCTATATGGGACACCCCTTGAAGACTGCCAGGAAACCTCAACTGGTCCAGAATGCAGCAACAGGCACAGTAATGGGGCCCATTGGATTTATCCATGTAACACCTTGGCAGCATGAGCTGCACTGGCTTCCGGTTTCTTTCCAGGTGTAATTCAAGATGTTGGTTATCACCTTTAAAGTCCTATAGGGCACAGGCTCAGTTTATCTGCAGGATCACCTTTCCCTAATGACCACTACCCATTCCACACAGGTCAGATAGAATGGGCCTGCTCCTACAGTAGTCCCTTCCTCTAAATATTGCCACCTAATGGGAGCTAGGAGGTGTGCCTTTTCCATAACAGCTCTGTCCTATGGGACACTCTGCCCCCTGAAGCTCGGCAGCCCCCCTCCCCTCCTAGTGTTCCATAAAGCTTTGAAGACCTGGCTCCCCCCCCCCCCCCCCACCAAGTGCTGGGATCAGATTGGATTACTGCACATTAGAAGTTTGACTTGGAGCCAGGTTTTTGTTATTTTTAACA